CGACTGACGCCCGTGATCTTACACATAAATTCGATGCAAAGATTCCTTCTGAAGCTTCATGAAGCAGAAGTTCGAAAAGTTCCTGAGAAGCAAGAAACACACTGCTCCAGCAGGCGCTGTGGCGCCGCGGGCGAACGCTTGAACTCCTTCAACTCCGCATAACTGGAGTGCTGCCAGGCCTTGAAGGCTTTCCAGCTTGCTGCAGAGCTCGTTGGCTGTGGTCCATCGTTAACATCTGGCCGCTCAGAGGCCGAGTCGCGTAGAACCTCGACACTGTGTCTCCGCTGATCATGTCTGTAAGAGTTGTAGCATCTCTAACGTCTGCAACGTCTGCAACTTTCTTCGTCGACTTCCAGCTGCTGCTGGCTCGGAGACCAGATGTGGTACACCTACGTTCTTGGTAAACCAGCCGTTCTGCAACCAGCTCGAGCTACTGTTCCTTATTGGAGTGGAGGCCAGACTCCTGTGAAGAGGAGCGCCGAGCGAAGTGAGGTCCCTGCCATGATGCTTTTGGCCTGGAACACTTTCTTTTTCAAGATCTGAGCCGCCTGAAAGAGGTCGGGACCTTTGGTCGGTGCCAGTACTCGAAGCCACAAACCCATCCTGTCGACTGACGTGGTAACCGTACAGACCTGTCCGATCAGCATGCGACTCATGATAGCATCTTGACTCTCGATTGAACCGAACCCGCAGCATCATGAACCGTGCCAAAGCTTCTGCAACACTCGACTGGTACATTGCACACCGCACTTGCTGCATGTGTCGCGATGCTCTTTTCTGGCACTTGCTCATGGCACGCTCACATTGCCCGCGTATGCGCGGAAGTGTCTGACGTCGCCACTGAAAAGTCGAGGCAGAGTGTCCCATTGACCCGCGAGTGCCTTTTAAAGTACTTGGCATTGGGGTGCCATTGCCGACAGCGCACAGTACTACCGCAATTCCTCATGTAATGCTGGGGTGATCGCACTGGCTTGAAGAGGTCTGCTACCGGAAAGTCACCGTCCTGTACAAGCTGCATGATCGACCGGGGGACATCGATGGCTGAGGAATCTACTTGCTCCGGTGAGGCTTGCCAGTGGTTCTCAACGATGTGTTTTTCCAGATCCGCACCTATCAAAGTGATGTTTGCAGCCGGCACAGGTCGGCATGCCATCGACCCATGCCTTTGACGTTCGAACTCAATGACAGTGTCTTGCGCCGTCTGCATGCGTTGCTCGCTGTGAAGCTTGGCAATGTGTGCCCGAAGTGCCTCTCCTGCCGAACCGAGCTCCCCGTCCTCCGTCGCGCCCTTCACCTGCACGGGGGAGTCACTGCTTGGAGCTCATCGGGATCGTCCTCTCGTATGCTCTGAGTTCTGGCGCAATTCTCACATCATGCTCTGGTAGAATGGAGATCAGGTAATCGGTGGTCTCGATAGCCTTTTCAGACGTATGCGGATCATGCCAGCGGGTGAGTCAAGACCAATCCTATGCCAAAAGCAATCGTCACTTTCGAGTTCTAGATGCCTGGGGCTGCGGGCAATGGCCCTGCGCGTGAGGGTCAGCGCAGATCGAAGGTCTTGGCCGTAAAGCTCGATGCTAGTAAGGAGTAGTGTGCTGAGGTGACTTCCGTGACTCGTGACCTTCCACAGCGAGAGGCGCTTGTGCATGTCGAGTGCCCTGTGCGCCATCAAAGTGGGACGGAGTCGACAAAAAGCAGCCTTACAAGCCTGTAGCCGCCTGTAGCCGATGCAGCATGTTCTGCTTCTCGAAGTTATCATAGGAGATGCAAGCGCCTAAATAAATGTGTGACCTCCTTAGCGGCATTTCCCAGTCTGTGTCCAATCTGAGCAGCTTGCCTTGCTTGGTCTTGCAGGTGACTTTTCGCAGAGCGTGTGGGGCTTGTACCCCATCCGCACGCAGGAGGCAAACGGTTTTGTCCACGCTGATCTTGAGTTTCAAGTGATGAACGCTGGAGGGCCAGCCTGCAACACCCATCCAGGCGAGCGTTTGCGGCCCTTGTTTTGGGC